GTGCCCGGGCATCCCCCCGTCCTGCATCCCTGGGTACCCCACATCCCTCAGTGCCCGGGCATCCCCCTGTCCTGCATCCCTGGGTACCCCACATCCCCCAGTGCCCGGGCATCCCTCTGTCCTGCATCCCTGGGTCCCCCGCATCTCCCGGTACCCGCGCACCCCGCATCCTCCCGCCCCCCGCCGGTGCCGGTGGATCTGCGGCAGGGCTGCGGCGGCTCCCCCCGCCCCCGGCTCCCCCCTCCCGGCGCACGGCGCGTCACGGCGGGGCCGGCGGCGGCGGCGGCGGCGGCGGTGGCGGTGGCGGTGGCGGTGGGTGCGCTCGGCTCCGCTCGGTTCCGCTCCGCGCCCGCCATGGCGGCCCCGGCCCGCCGGCCCCGGGCCCTGCTCGCCCCCCTCGGCCTGGCCCTGCTCGCCGTCGCCGTGGCCGCCACCGCCGCCGTCGCCGACCCCTTCTCGCCGCAGCTGGGGGACACCGGCGGGTGCCGCGGGCAGTGCGGCCGCAGCCTCCCGAGCCGGGCCGCCGCCGTGAGTCCGGGGCACCGGGGCACCGGGATACCGGGATACCGGGGGCGTGGGGAGCATCAGGAGCATCGGGGGCACCAGGAGCATCAGGGCACCGGGGGGTACTGGAGGGGTACCGGGGGCGTGGGGAGCATCAGGAGCATCGGGGGCACCAGGAGCATCGGGACATCGGGGGGTATCGAGGGGTACCGGGGGCGTGGGGAGCATCAGGAGCATCGGGGGTACCGGGAGTATCGGGGAACTGGGGGGTACTGGGGGCCACTGGGAGCGTGGGGAGCATCAGTAGCATCGGGGGTACCAGGAGCATTAGGGGAGGTACCTGGAGCAACGGGGGTACTGGGGGGCACTGGGGGCATGGGGAGCATCAGTAGCAGGGGGGCACTGGGGGTACTGGGATTACTGGGGGCTACTGGGAGCACGGGGAGCACCAATAGCATGAGGAGTACCAGGAGCATCAATAGCACTGGGGGTACCTGGAGCATCAGGGGCACTGGGGGGGTGCCATAAGCACTGGGGGGTCCCAGGGGGTACTGGGGGGCACCGTGGGCATGGGGATCATCAGTAGTACCTGGTACCATTGGGGGCACCAGGAGAGGAGGGCACTGGGAGCATCGGGGGGGGGACTGGGAGCAGCAGAGGCAACAGGGTCACCAGGAGCAGCAGGGACACCCTGGACAGGCATCTGCCACACACTGGGAGGACTGGGAGGACCATGGGGGGAATGGGGGGGTCTCCCCCACCACAGCTTTGAGGTGCCCCCAGTGAGGGCACCCACCCTGGTTTGGGGGCCTGCAGTGGTTTTGTCCATCTCACCGGCTCCCCTGAGCCTGCACACGCACAGTGACCCCTGTGTGTGCCCCCCATTTCCCCCCAGTATGTTCCCACCCCCCCCAGCGTGTACCCCCACCCCCACCCCAGTGCAGAGCACCCCCCCTCCTCCCACGGGGCCCAGCTGGTGCCAAGTGCCCCAACAGAGACGGGGGAACCCTCGACGAGGACAAGGCCACGTACAAACCCACCCCGGGGTGCACTCGGGGAAGGGGGGGGGCACAGGGCACCTCCCCCGGTGGATGCCACCCCTTGGGTTTGGGGTGCCCTGGCCGTGGTCCTTGGGGCCGGCAGCGCTTCCCGGTGCCCCCCAGCCGGGTGTGGGGTAGGGGGGGGCCGTGCAGGGGGAGGGTCCGGCACGGCCACCGGGCTGAGCTCGGTGCCAGCTCCACGCCGCCCTCCTCCTCCTCGCCGCAGGATGCTGTTCTCAACGCCTGTTACCGGGGCTGCCGGCTGTTCTCCATCTGTCACTTCGTGGATGCGAGCGCCGAGCTCAACACAACCCGGGCCGAGTGTGAAGCAGGTGAGAAGCCGGCGGCCGAGTGGCCCCCGTGCCCCAAATTTCCCCCCCCGGGGGGGATCCCCCACACCCCACTGGCACCACCGCGACGCCCCCCACCCTCCCGGCATCGCCCTGTGCCCCACAGTGAGTGGGGGCAGATGGACACCCCTCGGTGGGAAGGGGGGCCCTGGGGGTGGAGCACCCCCTAACCTGCCCCCCTGTACCCCCTAACCTGCCCCCCTGTACCCCCTAACTGCCCCCCTCTCCCCCAGCGTGTGCCGAGGCCTACGGCAACGCCGAGGAGCAGTTTGGCTGCGTGACCGGGTGCCACAAGCAGCTGCCCGAGGTGGAGGGGAGCAGGAAGGAGAAGGTGAGGGGCCGGGGAGATGGGGAGACCCCGTCCTCCAGCAGGAGCTCAGCACAGTTCCTCCTCTCCCTGGGGATGGAGGCTGTGACAGCCCACATGTGCAGCCCATGCATCCATCCATCCATGCATCCATTCATCATCCATCCATCCATCCATTCATCATCCATCCACCCCTCCGTCCCTCCCTCCATCCCTCTGTCAGCCCTTTATCTCTCCATCATCCATCAGTCCCCACATCCCTCCATCCATGTGGATTAGGGGCTCTGGATGTGCTGGGATGAACCAAACCACTGTTGGCCCAGCGCGTTGATTTTGTCCAAAGCAGGAAAAGCAAATTAACTGGGCTGGACTTGGCTGGACTTGGCTTGGGGCAGGCAGGGTGATCCCAGTGAGTTCCCAGGGTGAGAGGACCTGACCGGGAATCGTGGCAGATTCCCCCAGTTTTGATTTGTTATCCTTCCCAGCAATTAGCACCACTTTCCCCTCCGACATTTAATTAATTCAGCTTTTGGCCAATTAATTAAATTAAACTTTGGCCCAAGGAAGAGGCTTTTGGCTTTGTGCACGTGCAGAAAAAGACAAATCTGTGCCGCGAAAAGCTGCGGCTCCTCCGAAAAACCACTTTGCAGCCTGTTTGTAAGACCTTCCTGGTGTCTGATCCCATTTCCCAGCCCCTCTCCAAGGCTGGGGATGAGCATCTGGGGGCGACCAGCTGAAGGGGGGGGGGCCCTAACCCCCTTCACCCACCCGAAGCGTTTTTCCTCGGGTTCCCAGACGAGCCAGGCAAAGCAGATTTAGCATAATAATTAGATACAGAATCTGACCTATTTATTTCCTGTTTGCTGGTTTGACCGTGCAAGGGGCTGTCGGAAAATGTTGGGAGCCAGTGGCAGGGAGCAGCCAAGCGGATTCCAGCAGGGGATGCTTTAAAAATAACAAACTGCCGCGACGGCCAAGAATCCAGGGCACCGAGAGGCTGCCAGGAGAGCAACGCCCTCGGCACCGCGGCCGCTCCGCCCCCGTTTTCCACGGCACTGGTGGGAGCACAGCCCAGCTGAGGGCTGTGATCATCCCAGGGGGATGGTCCTGGGGCTGGGTGATGACCCCAGGGACCACCCAGTGACCCTCCTAGGGTTGGACTGCAACATCACTGTCCGTCCATCCCTGGGAGAAGCAGGATGAGGCCCGGACCCGAGCGCCCGGCTCATCTCGGGGTGGGATGTTGTCCCGCAGGGTGGGTGATGAGGGGACAGCGGTGACCCGGTGTCCCTGCTCCTTTGCAGAGCCTGGAGCTGGAGGCGCCCTCGTTTTCCCTGTTGGATTTGGTCTCCACCTTCTGCAACGACATCGTCAGCTCCGCCCAGAGCTTCATCTCCTCCACCTGGACCTTCTACCTGCAGGCGGACGACGGCAAAGTCGTGGTGTTCCAGGTGGGGGTGTCCCCTCTCCGGGGGTGCCAAGAGGGGTGAGGACCCCCTCGCTCACCTCCTTCTCCTTCTTCCCCTGCTGATCCAGTCCCAGCCGGAGATGGAGTACCCAGCACCCGAGGCACCGGAGATCCAGCCGGCACAGCCGGCATCGCTGGGATCCAGCCCTCGTGTCCCCCAGCCCCACACAGGTGCAGGGGGGTCTGGGCTGCTGGGGGTGGGGGGCCGGGAGCCCTGGAGCCCTCCTGGCTCCCATCCGAGCCCTCCAGAGCCAAACAAATTACCCGCTTCCCGGGTCTGATTCGCTTCCCACACCCCCACCCACGCAGGGACGGGGCTCAGCACTGGGGACCTGCTCCAAGAAGCTGCTGGGATCCTCTGTGCCCTCTCAGCTGGCAGAGGGTCCCCGGGGGGAGAGGGGGACGTCCTGGCAAGGGGATGGGGAGCACTAGGGGTGTCCCCACATGGGTGCCTGTGTTCAGCATCACCTCTCCCCTCCCAGGCCCTTGGGTGAAGGGGGAGAAGCCCCCCGTGAAGGAGCCAAGGGGCAAAGCCAAGGCGCACCCCCCGGAGCCCCCGCAGCAGGAGCACGACTTCCTTGGCTGCATGTCCAAGTAAGTGGTCTGGGACCTGCTGGATGTGCTGGAGCAGATTCTCCCCAACCCCAGCTCCCACCCCTGCCCCTGCCCTGCCATAAACCGGTCCCTTTTCTTTGGTGGGGGGTGGTGGGGTGCTACAGGCGCTCGGGCCTCCCTCGCTGGATCCTGGCCGCCTGCCTCTTCCTCTCCATCATGGTGATGCTGTGGCTGAGCTGTGCCAGCCTGGTGACTGCCCCCGAGCAGCACGTCAAGACCCAGGTATGGGGGGAGCACAGCCCGAGAGGGGGGTCCCCAGCACCCACTGGGGCTGGGTAAGACGCTGCTGTGCAGTGTTGGTGGTGCCCAGCCCGTGTGGGGCTCTCCGTGTGCCCGCGCCGGGCGGGACGTCCCCAGTCAGCCCCGTGGTGTTCCCTGGTGGGGGTGAGGGGGTCCTGTCCCCTGCTCTGGGGCTGCACGGTCGCCTCTACCTCTCTTCCAGCCTCTGAGCATCAATGGGGACAAGGAGTACCTGGAGGACCTGGGTGGCCCCGGTGCCTTCCCACTGCCGCCCGTCATCGCTGTCACCCTGTGCCCCGCGCACGGGGAGGACGCGGGGCCGCTGCCCCTCAAAGTCGACCTGGACAAGACCATCCTGTAGCACTCCCATCCCTTCCCATCACCTCCCTGCCACCTCCCCGTCACTGTCCCCGTGGCATCATCCCCGATCCCGCTCCGCTGCCCCTCTGGCTGCCCCACATCCTGAGCTCCCAGAGGGGCATCTCTGGACTGGGGAACAGGATCCAGCTGGGCCCCGCTCTCCTCCCCAGAGATGGCCACTGTGCTCCAGGAGCCAAGCGGCTTTGCCTGCTCCACGGATGTGCCGCGCGCTGGGATCCTGGTTTCCAGTGCTCCGGAGCCAAGAGAGGAGCTGCCAGAGCCGGGAGGCCGGAGGGAGCCCGTCCTCGGAGCAGGACGGTCTGTCTGCTCCCGCCCGGAGCCGCCGGGGCCCCGCAGCCCTCCGGGCATGGGTCCAGCGCTGGGCAGGAGGGAGCCGGCTGCCGTGGGGGATGGAGAGTGTCTGCAGCCTTCTGAGCTTTGGCTCGGCACATCCCCGGCCTCCCACCTTGGGCTGAGCCTCCAAGGCGCCGGCTCCGGCCCTGGGAACTCCCTTCCGCCGGCCGGAGCCGATTGCCTCGGGGAGCCGGAACGTGGCGAATGGATTTGGCGTTGGCAGCCGGACAGGGGAGCGGATCTCGCCGCCTCCGTGCCCACGCGAGGACCCAGCCGGCCCCTTCCTGGAGCTGTGGAGGGGCCCTGGGATGGCTCCTTCCCCTCCTTGCTCCGTGATGCCGTTGGGGCGCCGGCCCAGATGCCGACAGGTTACTGGTGGGACCAGGAAGGGGGTGAGGTGGCATTTCCTTGGCTTCAAGCTTGGGTAGGAGGTGGGAGCTGCTGGGACGGCTCCATCCTGGGCTCAGCATCCTGTCGGGATGGCTCCATCCTGGG